CCTCAAGACAAAGAGTGAAACGTGAGTTGTATTAACATTACATAGGAAAATAGACATCTCTAAACGCATGGAAACAACTGCGAAACGTAATGTTTTGATGAAGGCATATAATCTTGGTTTATCATATGACTTTGCTGAATCAGACTCGGAGAAATGTATGTAAAAAAACGGAAAATTCTTGCAAAACCTAAATCGGAAAAACTGGACTCTGTACTTTATGAATGGTTCAAATAGAAATAATGTGAAGGCACACCAAGGGTAGCAATTTTTATAACCGAATGACCGATAGGAGAGCATTTTCTGATGGCTGGATGGCTCGGTTTAAGCTTCAACACGATATTAGAAGGCTTGATGTAGCTGGGGAGCAGAAATCATGAGGCTCCTGAATGTACTGTAACATCTAACAGCCGAGCAAATTTATGATGCCAATAAAACAGGTTTATTTTGGCGTTGTTTGCCCACTTCCAAATTTATGATGCTAATAAAACAGGTTTATTTTGGCGTTGTTTGCCCACTTCCATTCCTGCAGGTTCAGCTGCATTTAGTGCTGCAGGATTCAAACAGAATAAATATAAGTTGACTTCGGGAAGTATAGGTTTCTTAACAGCCAGTGTGCAGGGCTAAATATGAGCATGTCCACGGTTTGTGCCATGATGCTAACTTTCAACTTGAGTATGTTATAAGAGTGACATTCAATATCTTTATTCGGTTAAAAGCTAACAAAGTCCTTGGGACGGTGGGCTCCGCTGACTAGCTACCTTCCTTGTGGTCAGTAATTTAAAATTAGGGACAGTTACCCCTGAAACCTAAGGTTCTGTAGTCTGGCCATTTAGCTCACATGTCGCAAAAGGTGCTTTACATGTTGAAAATGGTAACACCTGTACAAACAACAATAGTACTTAGGTTGGTACAGTTGGTATTATACGGTTGGTACTATAGGGTTCGTACAGTGGGTATTATAGGGTCAGTACAGTTGGTACTATTGGGTTGGTACAGTTGGTATTATACGGTTGGTACAGTTGGTACTATAGAGTCATTACAGTTGGTATTATACGGTTAGCACAGTTGGTACTATAGAGTCAGTACAGTTGGTATTATACGGTTGGTACAGTTGGTACTATAGAGTCAGTACAGTTGGTATTATACGGTTGGTACAGTTGGTACTATGCGGTTAGTACTATAGGGTCAGTACAGTTGGTACTATACGGTTAGTACAGTTGGCACTATATGGTCATTACAGTTGGTATTGTACGGTTAGTACAATTTTAATATAGGGTTCGTACAGTTTGTACTATACGGTTGTTATTATGCGGCTGGTACAATTGATATTATACTGTTGATACAGATGGTATCATGTGGCTGGTACTATACTGTTTGTATAGTTAATATTATACGGTTGGTACAACTGATATTATATGGTAGGTATTATACCGCTGGTAAAGTTGGTATCACATGGTTAGTAGAGTTGGTACTATACTGTTTGTATTGTTAATAATATACGGTTGGTATAGTTGGTGTTATACGGTTGGTACAATTTATATTATACAGTTGGTACTATACTGTTTGTATTGTTAATAATATACGGTTGGTATAGTTGGTGTTATACGGTTGGTACAATTTATATTATACAGTTGGTACTATACTGTTTGTATTGTTAATAATATACGGTTCGTATAGTTGGTGCTATACGGTTGGTACAATTTATATTATACAGTTGGTACTATACTGTTTGCATTGTTAATAATATAAGGTTGGTTTATATAT